CCCATCCAAGATATACATTTTCCTGTAGTTTCACTTCCTATGAATAAGTAGTCACATGGAGTTCCAGGGTATAGTGTTAGAGGTGCTGTGAAGATTAATGTTTCCTCCATCATAAATACTTGGCTGCTGCGTTATTTGCTAGTATTAAAGAGAAATTGATAACTGGATGTTGACAGTTAGCACAAAGGGTACTGTGTTGCTTTCAAACAAGGTTGCTAAAGAAACTGATTTCTAACGGGGAAGGATAATTTCCAAAGTACTGCCTATAAGACACGGGCTGCTGCATGCAAGGATCTCTAACACATTTCTGTGCAAATTTTCATCTCACTGACACACATTCAAAAGCCAAATTGGCTTCATTGATTTATTATGCTGTAATATGTAGAGGTGAGAAAAGATCTTCAGTAAATTTGTTGTGTGTTCTGTAAAGGAGGGGTGGACAACTTGTGGCCCTGAAGATGTGTTGGCCTTCAACTGGCAGCAGTCCGGGATAATGGTGAAAGGGACATTGTAGCCCAAAACATTTGAACAGCCATTTGCACATCTTTGCCCTCAAGGAGCTGGGCAGGTGCCAATTGAAAAAGCGGGGAGGGGGGGATCCATGTTCCACTGAACATCTTTTTTTTAAGGTGCATGCTGTAGTTGGTAGCATATTACTGGCTAGAAAAAGTCCTGAGTATGACAGAAACCAAAAAACATGAATGAGACATATTACAAGATAAAAGCAAATGGCTGGTGGTGAATTAGGAAGCAGGCAAATAATGAATTGAAAATTGTATTATATATGACACTGCTGATTCCTGATTCACAAAATGCTGCCACGTACTCCAGCTGCTTAGAGAATGCACAACAGTATGTTACCATTCCAAATTCTGCGAGGGAAAGGACTGTTGCAGATTTCTCAGACAGACACACTACTGTAAATTGTTCTGACATACAGGAATGAGCAGGCTAAGGAAGGGAAATCGAAGCAGAAGAGAGCTACGAAGGTAAGGAAAGGTAGATGAGGTAATAAGGAGAGAGAGAGAGTGGCTGAAAGCTGAGCAGGCAGTAGACAAACAAAAAGGGAAGTCTAGAGAAGAGCAGGGTGCAGGGAAGATAAGTTGATGAAAGGGAAGCCACGTTAGAGAAGGTGCTATGAAAAAGTCGTCTCGTCGTCTAGTCCCCCTCGCCCCGGGCAGTTGGGGAAGTTTAGGCAGGAAATGTGGTGTGTTTTAGACATCTCTGGAAGGAGCTTTCTCCCACTTATAATTGACCATCAAGCTTGCTTCTCTATGTTACTGGGGTGCGGTTGCTGTATTATTAGTGCATTGTATTAATTAGTATAATTGCAGCTGCAATTATTTCTTAAGAATGTATGTTAGACAATGATATAAAAATATTTTAGGTGCCAGCTGCTTGGAGATTTTATTAAATTAAGCAGTATACAAATATCATTATAAAATAGTAGAAGTGCAGTGGAATGAAAGGAAATGATTAATAAATACATCGCGGGGGCAATGAGATTAGATTTCGAAGAATGCCTTGTGCTAAACCAGCCAATTGTGCCAGACGCTCCGTCTAGCCCAGGAGAGCTGGCTGGCAGCGGCCGTCAGCTCGCCAGGGTTCAGGCCAGAGTTTTTCTGACTCTGCATGGAGATATCGCTGACCAAACCTGGAGCCATCTGTGTGCAAAGCGCTGCGCTCCTGCTGAGTCCCTTCCAGTTAGTGGACATTTTATCTGTTTCCAGCCTTTGAATTATCTACACGGGTCCTCTGGTAAAGCAGGGAAGGGGGCCAGGCCGTAGGGGCCTTTGAGGCTTCTGTGAGCAAGAGGGACCAGCAACTTGCGTTTAGGAATAAAGCAGGCATTTGGGAAGAAGGAGCTAGGAAAAGGCACCGCTGCCACATCCTTCTGCGCCTTCCCTGAGACAAAATCCTTAGGACTTGCAAGAGGTCAACTCCCGGGAAGTGCGCTTGCGGGTGCGGCCTTAACAGCTTTATAGCCCGGCAGGGCAAAGGCAGGAGCGCCCAGGGCAGAGGCGCTGCAACGCAGAGCACGCACCCGGGTTAACCGCAGGTTGTTGCAACTGCGCCGTAGGCGGGCCGTTGGTTACCCGTTTTGGCACGGCTGCAAAACTAGGGCCCGGCTTCATAAGGTCCTCTGCAGAAGGCTTCCCGCGGGACTTGCTAGCGCCTCGCTCTCAGCCGGGTAAGAAAGGCATCCACTTAGAAAGGCTGAGAAGCACGAGGGGCGGTCGCGGAAAGGCCCCGTGGGCGAAGGAGCACGAGAGCGCAGTGACTGCGTCGGGCAGGGAAGCGCCTCTGCGAGGCGAAAGCGCCGCTCACGGCCTCGCAACGGGCAAGCTCCCGGCCCCGGCCTCGGCTTCGTGGCAGCATTCGCGCAGCGGGGCGGCGGAGGCTCCTCTCGCCCGCCTGGGCCGAAGGTCCCGTGGCTGGCTTTCGCAGCCTCTGCCGCTTGGGCACGTCGACCCTGGGGCTCCTTTCTCCGGTGCCCCCGTGCTCGGCTAGGGCCTTTCCGACCGTTCTCAGTGGAAACAGCCGCCCTCAGATGAAGAAATGTCTTGCAGAGATAAGCCTTCTCGGGAACACACTCGCCAGTGAGTAAATGCCATTGAAATGAATGGGATTTACTTCCGAGTAAATGGGAAAACGATTGCATCGCGGGACTGTGTCTGCTGAGCTGTGATGCTCTTTTGCAGGCTGATAGGTGCAGATTTGCTCCGCAGCAGGTGCCCTTACCTTAAATTGGGATTAGTCCCAGCTAAGTGTCCACACACAGGGCCCTGATGGTTTAAGTCAGCTCGGTGGACGTTACTCCCCATCTCAGTGAGTTCATGGGACTGTAGCTTTGTAAAATACATTTAGGGTATGATCCTATGCATGTTTAGGGAAAGAAAATTCAGGCAGTTCCCAGCATTCCCAGCCATCATGGGGCTGGGGAACATTGTATGGATGATGCTGGAAGTGATGGAGATGAAAACATCCTGTCTAAACATGCACAGGATTGCACCCCTAAAGATTCATCCTATATATGTGTACTCAGATGTAAATCTGACTTTGTTCAATGAGACTTGCTTAGGGGACTGTGTACGGGATTGCAGCCTTGGTAGGGTATATGATGCCTCAGGCTGGATCCAGCTCTAGACAGGTTGGGGAAGGCTGCAGTGAGCTCTCTGGCAGCAGGACTCGTTTCTCTGTGCTGTCAAGCCAATGTGTCTGCCATGCTGACAGGTGTGAGGAGAGATCCTGCTGATCCTGATGGAGCAGCACAACACTGCATGACTCTCCACTTTCTGCAGCACTCCATTTAAAACATGTCAAACAAAACTATAGTTGGCTGGTCACAACTAATTTATGGCCCATTGACTTCAGTGGGGCTGCTCTGACACAGTATGGCTCCGACCCCAAAAGTTTATAGATTGGGATAGAGTGGATACAAGTCACCTGAGAGCTGTTGTGTCAACTTTGTGTCCATGATGGTGACCAGGAGTCCTTGCACAATTCCCATTCCATCTTCTCTTCTTGTGTAAAGACGCTATCAGTTGAAATGCCATACTTGGTCTGACTTCAGTTTCTGTAAGTGGTCTGAGCTTAGTGCCTCAAAATGACTGCAGCCTTACCTTTAATCTATTCCCCTGTTAATAGATTATTTTTCTAATAATAATAATATTCCTTCAAATATACAGAATATATTTATAATAAATATATCAAAACTACTACTACATAATGTATTTGAGAGAGAATCTACCCAAGTCCTTCATTACAAGGTGATTCTGTGCATAATTTTGTGCAAGTAAAACCCATTGTCCGCATATTGTGGGTTTAAAGGGGCAAGCCAATCTATGTTTATTCAGCAAAAAGTCCTACAATTCCCAATATTCCACAGTCCACCATATTGGAAATTGTAGGATGTTTCCTCATCTAAGCATGCATAGCATTGCACCCTAAAGCTTTTACTGCCAAGCCTTGAGCATTTTATCCTTTTAGAATGGTGGGGGGAGAGCATGTACCAAAAAACAAAAATAACAAAACACCTGTGTGTTTTTTTCTTCCACCTGACCATCAGGGGTGACCACCTGGAGAACCTAGAAGAGTGAAGTTTGGACCTGAGGTAAGCTGTTTAGTGGCCTAAATATTCCCCATCCTTCTTTCAGATTCCTAGATGCTCTTCCCTAAACACATGCACTCTGGCATATGCACCCACTTGTTTTAGAAAAGGGCAATACATTTTAGAAGTAAAAACAGTAAAATGATGAACTGGAACTATGACCAGCCACCTCTCCATTAAATTTTATAAAAATAAGGAGAGAGAAAAGAATGATGCTGCACCCAGCCTGGTGGGACAGATTGGCCCATATCAGCTCCGGGGTTAGGCAATTGACCTGTTTGGTGCTGCCCAGCTTGGCACTCTGGGTGGTCATTTTCTGTTCCTTGGACATCGGTTCTAAGGCCCAGCCCAGCTGCACTATTACGAGTGGGAAGACTGCGCTCATCCTGTATATTTCCTAACCTTTCTACCTTCCTTAGATGTCTTGTACCCTAACTTATCCCAACCCTATTTAGGGCATAAGTCTTGCTCGTGCACCAAGAAACTGTATTTCCAACAGCATCCCAAGTCAAAGAAAAGCATGGCAAGTCTATTCATGTGACTTTCCTCCTTCACACTGCCCAGTTGTTTTTATGGTTGAATATTTATTACACAGGACAATCATTTAAATATCCAATTTGCAAAACATTTAAAATAAACACATTTCTTTAGAAGACTTCGTAACCAAGACTGCATAAAAATCCCAGGAACAAGGAACAAGAGGTTTGGGAGGGAAAGCCCCTTCCAGCTTTCCCTCCTACCCTCACCTGTTTCCTTGGCCAGGTGTAGGCAACTTGGCCTAAAGATTTTTGGACTACCACTCCCATAAGCCCCAACCAGCACAGCCAATGGTCAGGGTGGATGGGAACCGTAGTCTAACATATCTGGAAGGCAGCACCTCGCCCACCCCTTAGGCCAGAGGGTGAGCGAAGGAGCCGAACTCCCGAGGTGTGGCACTGCGACTCCCAGAAGGGCCTGCCGGTGTGGCCGGTGGTCGGGAATGCTGGGAGTTGAAGTCCCCAACCTCGAGCGCGCAGCTGCCCCGCTTGCTGGCTCGGGCGGCCCGAACCCGCCGCGCCTCTGCCTGCCCGTCTTCGAGGGACGCCGCCCTTCGGCGCCCAGGGGCTTCGCCGGGTCGAATGGCGCGGGCCTCGCAGCGGCGCGCTCGCCGCCCTTCGCGCGTCCCGCCGCCCGGAGAGCGCCGGCGGCTCCTCACCGCCCCTCCTGCTGCTGCCGCCGCCGGGGGGACGCGGTGGGGCTCGAGGGCCGCAGGTCCGCGGCGCCCAGCTTGGCGCCCGGGGGCGGCGCCGCCTCCTCCGCCTCCTCTTTGCCCGGCACGTCCCCCGAGGACACCGCGCAGTCTTGCTCCGGCTCTGGGCGGCTCCCTGCGCCGCCAGCGCCTCGCTTCTTGTCCTCCTCCTTCTTCCACTTCATCCTCCGGTTCTGAAACCAGATCTTGATGTGCCTCTCGGTCAAGTTCAGCATGACGGCCAGCTCCACCCGGCGGGGCCTGGAGATGTACTTGTTGAAGAGGAACTCCTTCTCCAGCTCCAGGAGCTGCGCCCTTGTGTAGGCGGTCCGCGTCCGCTTATTCTCTTCTTGCTCGACCACGTAGGAGCCACCTAAGGGATGGGGGAAAGTTAGAATCCACGCAGGGAGTCAGATCTCGGCGCAAGTTCTTGAGGACTAGAACCTTGAACGGAAGAGGGATAATCCTCTGACTGCTCGACTTTGGGGCTGGCGATGATATTATATTTTAAGAATTTAAGTCCTACCACTGAGGTAGAACCTTCCCGAGGAGGAGACTCCTATGATTGCCAGAGGGTATCTAACAGCCTGATGTATATTACCGTCTGGATTTAAATAAATTTACAAGTAGAATATAATCGACAACATTTCAACATAACACTTCTAGGAAGAAACCTGGAATATTTTATGTAGAGTAGTCAGACGATTTTTTAAAAATCGTGGTCAATCATCTGCATTCCCCCACCACACACATATTCAATGTAATTAACGGACTGATTAAATGAAAGTAAACATATAGATTGCTAAAATTTCAGAACTGGTGCGCTTATTTTTTATTTTAAAAAGACATTAAGGAACTAATGAAATAATTAAAAATCAAATAAACCAAAGCTATTATGTTAAACCAAAGCTTTAAAAAAATTCTGTTTCATTTCCTTTTACAGTAATACAAAATATAAAATAGGTGTTTTCTGTTTCTGTTTTTACAGGATAGCCTTAAAGTCCATCTTCACTGATTAAAATTTGCCTTGTTAAAATTTGGCCCTTGGAGAAGCAAAAACCACAGGAAGAAGTAAGGTTCTTATCCTAACTCAAATAGCTACAAAAGAGCACATCGTGAAGACCAGAAAAAGGCCAAAGACTGTGATTTTATTTATTTCCATATATACCCTGCCTGCTTTCCTTAGAAGAACCCAAGGAAGCTTTCAGTCTTCTCTCTCTTCTCTAACCTCACAACAGTCCTGTGAGCAGGCTGCGTCGGGGACTGTCCCAAAGTCACCCAGTGAGCTTTGTGGCTGTGGGCAGAGTAGAGCCTGGCTCTCCTGAATCCCTGTACTGCTCTAACCACTATGCCACACTGGCTCAGGAAGAACCTAAAAATGGAGTGGAATATGATACTCAGTGGTTATTGCAAGGTCATCTGAGATCACCGGAATACTTTGCTCATGTGAAGAGGAAGTCCATTGCGCAGCTTTCCTCAACCCCACGTGGGCCAAGCTGCAGCTCTCCTAATCTCCAGTTGGCATGGAAGCCTGCAAGCTTCTGAGGTACTCCCATCTGAGGTAGCTGGTGGCTATTTGAAAATAGCTTTTTACTCCTACATTCATCCAAGGTTTCCCCAGAATTTCAATCCACCTGTAGTCAGATGGCAGCACCAACCCTATTTACTGTAGCTTGGCCAGAAAGTTTTGTTGTGAAGACACTGACAAGGCGAAGGACAGTGTAGGGGTGGCAGTGCTGGTCTCTGGGGAACCAGGTTCTAGTCTTCATTCAGTAATGAAACTCACTGGGTGACTTTGGTACTGTCACTTGTGAGGACAACCCAGTGCATGTTTAGACAGAAAAAAGGCCCACAACTCCCATCTTGTCCCAACCAGTCATGCTAGAAACTGTAGACTTTTGCTTCCCTTTCATAAATATGTATAGAATTGCACAATAAATAATATCAATAAACGGAAAAGTATTACAAAGCAACAAAGGTAAGCAACAGAAACGAAAGGAAAACAATTGAACCGAAGTGCCTATATTCTGGTGTGAATAGCCCCCCTCTATTTTAGAACCATTTCTGGGTTTTGTTCGATTTTATTCAAAGCAAAATGAAACAACTAAACTGGTCTCCCCTGTATTCCATCCCTAGATCTGCCAAAGGTGGAGGAAGCAGCACATCTTTCTAACATTCTTTAAATTCCTCCTGTATATGTGCTTCCAGTTTTATCCTCACGATAGCCCTGCAGGTAGGTTGAGTTGCAAGAGAATGACCAGCTTAAGTGGGTGCATCCTATGACTGTGTAGGGGTCCAACCAAAGGCACCAAGCGCCAAGCCTGATTGTTGTGGTCACATCACTCCAACTAGAAGTAGCAAAGCTCACTTTAAACCATTAGAGTCAAACCAAATGTGTGCCAAACACTGTGTGTCTCTCTAGTTCACCTTAAACAGCTTGGTTTTTAAAGAAAACTGGTGTGTAGAGCCATACAGTTCACAGGTTCTGCAGCACTGCTTCACTTCACTTTCCATTCCAGCTCGAGGAAGCGGCAGGATTGCTAACAGGGGCTGTTCAGTTAGCAGCCTGCTTGTCACAGGGTTAGTTCAGAAAGTGGCGATTCTTTTTGATTCTTCTAATGCCTAGGCAAGGATGTTACAATCCACACCATTCAGGAAAACATGGAGCCCTGGAGTCCTTTTACTCAGGACTCCATTCAACGTAGAATTTCCCTGGAAGCAAATGATGAAACTGAGGCTGCCCTACTTCGGGCACATCGTGGGATGGCAAGGCTCGCTGGAGAAGACACTGATGCTGGGGAAAGTCAAAGGCAGAAGAAAAAGAGGAAGACCAAATAGGAGATGGAGCCATTCCATGAAGGAAGCTACTCCTTGACTTTGCAAGAGCTGAGCAGGGCTGTCAAGGACAAGTTATTTTGGAGGGCATTCATCGCGCCAACATAAATCAGAGCTGGCTTGAAGGCACAGAACAACAAAAAAGATGGATAAACTCGTTCCATTAAAATCTTCTATTTCTTCACTGATGTCTATTGGCAGCTCTCACTTCAGACTCGGTGGATTTTTCCCCTTTCACCAATCACCAATCAGCTGAACCAGAAAACAACCTATCCAAAAAGTGACATGATTCCGTTTAGTTTTTTAAAATCTCCACGTATATCTTTTCTCCTCCTCCTCCTCTCCATAACCCTACATCGCATGAATGTACGGTTCAAATTTTCATCGCATGAAAACTTCGGTGGTGTCAGAATAAGCCACTCTGGTGACTGTGAATAGGAACCAAGCTGTTGTCCTTCTGGATTTATTTAGGAGGGGCAAGAGCCTCTGGGAGGTATCAGGTGTTTGGAAGTATACTCAAAATGTAGTACATGCGTGTAAAACAAAACTGAAGGGCGACCAGGATGCAAAGCCGAGCACTTCGGTGCTGCGGTCCTGGACATGCTTAATCGGGAGTAAGCCCAAATGAGTTCATTGTAAACAGCAGTATCACACCTCATCTGCCACCAGCCTCGACGCACTTATCTCGGCTTTTGCTCCCATTGCTCTCGCTAGGACTTACGCGCGCTGCAAATTCCACCGATTTCAGTGGCGAAATGACTGCACGTCCTAATTATTAACTTATTATTATTATTAGCGTATTAACTCGGATATCAACGAGGCAGAGAAGCGCTACAGACGGGCTTCATCTAGTGGTAAAAGATTGGGGCGGGGGCGATCAAAGAGGGTGCAGCCAACCGCGTCCTCAAATGAAATCCTCAAAGTTGAAAAAGAGCCGGGACAACTCCAAGCTGCAACAGTTAGTTACGCGCTTTTAGGTGAGATAAGCCTGTTGAATCCAAAGCGATTTACTTCTAAGGAAACACGTCTAGGATAGTACAGTGCGTGAGATACCGAATTGTAATAGGCAAGGAAAGGAAAGGAAAAAGAAAAGAGAAAAATACACAAAGACCTACGAGCTAATAATAATCCTGGACAACTGGGTTCTTTTGGAATGCAAAAGCCTTTTCAATTTTGCGTCTGTCGCCTTGAGTGTGCTTTCTCTCAATCGTTTTCCGAGGTTTTGCTCTTATGGAAAAGCCTCCTCCTCCTCCTCCTCCTCCTACAGCTTTGTTTTGCTTGCACGCTGAAACACAGTAATTTAAAGGAAAACGCTGAACAGAAGTACTTCTTTTCTTCTTTTCTTTTCTTTTCTTTTCTTTTCTTTTCTTTTCTTTTCTTTTCTTTTTTCTTTTTTGTTTGTTTGGTCTATATGCCCGTTTTTGTTAATCCCCTTGACTCTGCGCAGGTAGACCTGTCGGAATTAGAACGGCTTTCCTAATCTGATGTCCGCTCCCTGGCGCAGGACTACAATTCCCAGCATCCCAGCCTACACAACTAGCTGGGTGATGGCAGGACCTGTAATCCGACGCAACTGGACCAGGCTGGGGAAGGCTGCGCTGGAGAGAGTCCCCAAACTGCGCGCCTCTCCTCGCGGCAGCTCCAAGTTCCTTTTCATCACAAGGGTCCGCAGGGGACTTTGGAAGGCAGCCCGATTTCCAGGACATCTGCAAGCTGAGAAGAATCTTCCTTTCCTTTTTTTAGCAGCAGCGCGAATTAGGCTTTTAAGCGAGCGAAAGAGGCTACCCTTGAATGCAAGCAAGTTCTGCTGGCGGATTCCCCCTGGCTTCTCGGCCAGGCACTTTCTGGAACACTATGTGAAACCAGAAGTCCTGCCAAAGCTATATCGCCACTCAAAGGGAAAAAAAACTATTAAGGCAATGCCTTTGTTAGACCAACCCAAAGGTCACAAATTTGCTCATTGCTTTATCAGGCTGCATGAGTGCGTCTGCTCAGAAGCAAGGTCCACTGGGCTCAGCGAAGGGACTGCCAGGTAAATGTTCCTGGGAGAAGAGCCCAAAGGGATGAGCCTTAAATATCCCCTAGAATTGTAGAGCATTCTTGGTTTAACAGAGGCCTTATGTTAATAGTACCAATTATAATTATCAATAATAACATTACCAATATTAACATACACCCCCTTTGCTAAAAAGCCATCAAAGCTATGTACAACAGATTTAGCAAGAAACATAGAAACAGAGTGAGTCAGAAGGGGCCTCCCGGGCCATCTAGTCTGACCCCCGGCTCCACTGTATAAAGATTTATAAAGAGAATCTTTATATAGTGAAACTATACAGGTACACAATTCAAAAGGCAAAATTACCATATGGGAAATATGTAACTCTGTTCTCCCTCTGCCCCTGCTCCACCCCTTCTTACTCTTTCTGCAGAGCTCATTTCAGTACGTGCAGCTGGCACTGAAGGGAGCCAGCGTTGTGCAGTAGTCCAGCACGCTGCCCTGGGTCTCAGCAGATCAGGGCTGTAGTCTCCACTCAGCCA